ATTTGAAAGAAAAAAAAATTCATCGTAATAGTTTATTTCCTAAGAATAACTGGTAGTTATCATTTACTATGCATTATTTTGCTTAGTTAGAAATAAAAAATTCAATAAAGATATTTTAAATTGATTCGTCGAATAAATAATTATTTTTATTAGTCCCAAAGACAAATTGTGGCCTTCAACTCTATATATATATATATCAAAAATCTCGTTGTTAAACAAAAAATAGTGATAAGAGATAATTCAGAACTACTTCAGGGATTCTAACGATCTGTCTCGCATGTGACACATGTTTGTCATAAAAACATTTTTTTATAAATATGTCTGAAATATCTTAGTACAGATATATAAAAATAATTTTATTTATATTAATTTCGAGTAGGACTAAAAATAAAAATCTGCTCAGAGTTGCAAAAGTAGATAAAAAAAACTTATAACAAAATATTTCAAAAGGATCAAATGTCTCCTCATGTACTTAATTAAAGAAATTAAAATAACTGAAAATTATCCCTGTCTAATTTTTTAAGAATAAGTTTGGATAATTTAAACGTATAAACAAGCAACAATTATGATACGATTATTAAAGAATTTTTTACTAAACATTTTATAATGCCATGCTGCCAATCAAACTGATCCTGAATTTATTATATTTTCCTCTAAATAAATAAAAAAATAGTTTAAATTGTTAGATTCAGTGGTGGAAACAATGATCACCCAACTGCACATGACTTTTCAACAGAGAGCTATCATGATAGTTACACAAAATATAATTAGCACTTGTGGAATGTCGAATTGTCAGCCAGACAATGACTCAGTTCTGATTCCAACTGAAGTGCTTACAGCTTCTGAAATATCTCAGTTGAACTCCAACGATGATGATTCCGAATCACAGAATCTCAAAAGCGAAAGTTAGATATTTATGATGATTATGATACGGAAAGTTTTTCAAGTTTTGAGTCTGATGAAGGCTTTGTTCACAGTATATCAAGCTCAGAAGACGATTCAAGCGATGAGGAAGATTTTTCGAGTGTTCGACTGTGGTGTAAAATTGAGTTCTCACGCTCCTACGATTTATGGTAATGCGGGCATGAAAGCTTGCGTGACAAATATTTCTGATCCACTAGAGTACTTCGAGCTGTTACTGATGACATTGTAAATCATATTGTTACTGAAACCAAAATTTTTGCTGCTGAAAATTTAAATAAATTTAAGAGCAAAGAACATTCCCGAACTCGTCATTAGATTGAAACTAATGCGAATGAATTGAGAGTATTTTTTGCAACATTAATTTTGCAAGGAATAATTGCGAAACCAACACTGTAAGAATGTATTGGTCAAAAAGAAAGCTAATTGAAACTCCTAGTTTTTCTAACCTCATCAGTTCGAGAAGGTTTGACCTTATTATGCAATTTATTCATTTTGATAGGAATGAAAACACTAATTCTTCTCTTCCTCAGCCAAAACTAAAAAAAAAAAAAATATGGACCGTTTTAAATTACTTACAGAAAAATTTTTCGGAAGTTTATACACCCGAACAAGACATATGTATTGATGAAAGTCTATAGCTGTATAAAGGGAGACTTTCTGGGACCCAATACTTACCACTTAAAAAGCTCAACTCATAATCCTGAAATCGTAAAAGTCCCAAATAAATTGAAAAATGTGGAAATAGAGAAGCCTAAGATTGCTTTAGATTATAATAATACGATGGGTGGTGTAGATCGCATGGATCAGCAAATTGGATACTATGACATAACTCGATCTCGTCTGTGCTGGTTATAAACGTAAATGTTTTCTAATTATAATCAACACTAAAACAAGTATCTCATAGAACAAAACTCTTTTTACTATCTCAAGTGTACACAAGATATAAAAACATATATGCGTTGCTAACAAAAGAATGATGTAAGAAATAATCATTGCATTTGCGTTGATGCACTTGCGTCTGAAACATCCTCCCCACCATGATCAACCGTAAGGGGTATGATCAGTTGAACAGGTCCAGATATTTCCTTGCCATCAGAACGTCAAGTACAAGTGCGGACTTATCCATTGCGTCCTTTAATTAGTCCAGTTACCAATGCTCTTTTCCACGTATGTCGTGGTCTTACATCTTCATGTCTCCAACACGAACATGAGATGATTTTTGAATGTTACGAACTTGGTGGAAAGATCGTAATTGCAATAAATAGTCCTTGTGCCATTTCTTCCAAAATTCGTCTAATAAAACCTGTTGTTGCTTGTACAATTTTGTCAAATTTCTACTAGATGTCAGAATTTAATTGCGCAATAAATCGAGTTACATTACCTTGCACTGTTTTTTTCTTTCTTTTCAAGAGTGCCAGACTGTCGCCAAGTTCTTTTTTGTTTTGTTTCTCCATCATTGAGTAATACTGATGTTTGACGTTTCGTTAGTTTTTAAAAGAGTGACTGCGTAAATTACTAATCATTCGTACTTAATTTTAAACCGAGTTGTTTCGGTACCAAAATGGGCTGGTTATAAACATAAATGTTTTCTAATTATAATCAACACTAAAACAAGTATCTCATAGAACAAAACTCTTTTACTGTCACAAGTGTACACAAAATATAAAAACATATATGCGTTCCCAACAAAAGAATGATGTAAGAAATAACATCGTCAAAGGAAATATTACAAGAAAATATTTCGTTATTTATTGGACATAACAATTTTTAATTCTTTTCAGCTGTGGAGGAAAAAGGGAATAAAAAATCGAATTTGGAATTCAGACTTAAACTAGCTGAAAGAATTGTTGAAAAATATCACACTCACAGACATGTGAAATCAAAACCAGCTGAAACAGTTTTGAATACTTTAAGATTGTCAGCACGCCATTTTCCTGATTATATTCCGCCTACAGAAGTAAAGAAAGAACCTACTAGTCGATGAGTGGTATGTTGCAGCAAAAATGATGCCAATGGAAAAAGAATTCGCCGTGAAACACGTATTTATTGCAAAGACTGTAATGCCCCATTATGTGCAATTCCATGTTTTAAAGTATATCATACTCAAAAAGATTTTTAGGTAGTTACTGTATTTAAATGTTTCATAAAGTTTTACATTAGTTGTATTCATTTAGGACTTTCAATTTAATATTTGTCTTGCATTTATAATTAACTATAATCTACTATTTAATAAGTATCATTTATTAATTATTTTAAAGTGAGTAAAAACTATTATTTGTGTACTACAAATACTTTAAGAAATTTTTAAAACGCGCGAGGCGAGCTATCTACGGCATCGCTAGAAAAGGGTGACATTTTCGGCAGAATGGTGGGGGGAAACATCTGCCACTTTCGACTACTGTTTACTAGTAATACTGCGCGAGTTAACTTCACGAAAACTGCCCATTTCCCTAACCGTCGAAGGGTTAAAAGTGATAAAATATGAATTTTATACTCAAATATTTCCGTCTGTTGTTTTACACTACCTTTGCAAACTAAGTAATCAGTGCTATTTTTGTCATTATAATGAGTACATGTCGCTACAATATATGATTTTAAAAAAAAGAATCGACTTGTATTGATGTAAAATAGAAATGTTATGTACTTTTATTGCTTGAATTCTAAAGTATAAGCATTTTTCATTGGAGGTTGTAAGCATGCAGTTTCGCTTATTACCTGGGTGCACAGGCGGAGTGAAGAGCCAACTCCTACTTCAGTAAAATCCTATTGAAAGAAAAGCAAAACTGTCCGAAGTGGGCACAAAGCTAGGGATATCCCTCTTCCCAAATTAGACAACGATAACTCAACAAACGATGAGTCCATTGGCGTCGTCAGATAAAATTTATTGGGGGGGGCCA